CATCAAGTCATTTCATCGAGTCATTTCATCAAGTCATTTCATCAAGTCATTTCATCAAGTCGTTTTATCAAGTCATTTCATCAAGTCATTTCATCGAGTCATTTCATCAAGTCATTTCATCAAGTCATTTCATCAAGTCATTTCATCAAGTCGTTTTACCAAGTCATTTCATCAAGTCGTTTTACCAAGTCATTTCATCAAGTCATTTCATCAAGTCATTTCATCAAGTCATTTCATCAAGTCATTTCATCAAGTCATTTCATCAAGTCATTTCATCAAGTCCAACTCGCGTAAACATAAAACCAGGACAGTGATATATGCAACAATACGGATGAAGTGGTTGGTTGGAAGCACGAAACATGTAATGACGAAGTGTGGTTTAATCCATTTCACCTCACTTATCCTACAAGTAGATCTACCACCACAAAACTGAGCTTCTATCTTCTTCTTCGTTCGTAATTTTAGTATTGCAAGGGATTTCATTTCCTCCAACACATTAAGTATTACGTGTCAACGTGTTATGTGCCGCATAGGCCGTTGACTCCGATTTCAGCCTGCTTTTCTTCTTGGATTTGGAATGTTAACCAAAGTATATCTATTCTACGCATGTCATCAATTCAGATGAATTAGTTTGCATGATTTTAAATATTACAAAACAAAAAATAATATCTACTTTCTTTTATATTACGATCAACAGAAAAGACATACAGTGGTAAAGAAATATTTTCTTTTCTTTTTTCTTTTTTTTTTGTTCAGTATGAAAGGTCTAAAAGATCTAAAAATAGTCACGTCTCTGCATATCTAGTCTGAATGTTAGTAAAAAAGATAAGGCCCAAATAGAAAAACCTATTCATTCATGAATATTCACCTTGGCAGCGTACACCTAACACGGTAATAAAAAAAAATTTGAAAAGCCTGTATGACTTGTAGCGAACAGATTACGTAGCCGATGTTGGCTGAAAGAAATTCCCGATGACTAGTGGTATGTAGGCCTCCATTACATACGACAAATGGTATGTGGGCTGACATAAATTATGACTAGTTATATGCTAGGGTCGCAGATGGTTTTATTAAATATGCATGAATTTGTTGTATTTTTTTATTTTTTATTTGCTTTTTGTTGTTTTTTTGTTTGGGGGTGGGGGGAGGTTGGTTGGGGGGGGGGGGGGGGGTTGTTTATAATAACTCATCTCTGGCTCAAGAAAATGTAATGAGTAAAAATACACAAGGGCTCCTTTCGAATATACAGATGTAGAAATAGTTTCCTTTAGATAAAATAGTTTATTTAATAATTTTACCAAAACTTGGCAGCAGGAATTCAAAATATTGTATTTTATTTGGGCAGGTGGATTCGCTCTATGCAATAGGGCAGGTAAGTAGGTCAATAAACAGTTCTATGGCTCATGCAGGTTTTATTGAGCCGTAGAACTGTTTATTGACCTACTTACCAGCCCTATAGAGGTGACCTATAAGGCGAACTAGGCGGTCGCCTAGGGCGCAAAAGGTTTAATTGCTATTATCAAAAAGTACCTAATAATTAATAACTTTTATAAAGGAGTAGCGATCTATTTCGGCACCCAGGACGAACTATCAATTTTGCACCCCCATCCCAAAATTAGGTCTATATAGGCCCATATTTATTCGCGATGGTGACAATGCAACCCCACCTAATTCGGAAAGGTCGGGGTGCTTTTTACCAGTCATTTTGCTTTTTTTTTTTTTGGTGTCACATAATTGATGTAGAAAACGATTAAATACGTTCGTAATTTAAACTTCGAACTTTTTAAACAGTTATCTAATTTTAATAGACCTTGTAAGTTCGTTTTAGAATTCTGACCTGGTATTTAGAGTTTTGTAATGACGGGGTGTTCTAAGTATTGTACTTGTTTAGTAAGTTTTGATGAATCGTTTAGATTTAGAAGTAACGGCGGAAGGATGTTGCTGATATGGTTTCGTTGGTATAAAGTATCGAAGTGTTAAGTGTCATAATTTTTATTCGGATATTTTGTAGTTGAAGGTCTAGAGGAATCTGAATGGTAATAGAGAAATGAAAATGCAGGTGATGAAGTATCGTAGTTCGGGAGTAATGATTCTTTTGGTATTAAGGTATCAAATTATATTGACTGTTAAAGTGTAGTAGTAGGTCCAGTGAAATCGTTGATTGGGAGTACCGTTTGTAGAGCTTGGTGAAGTTAAACGAGTTGGTGTCGTAGTTCTGGAGCATCGAGTCTAGTTATGTTTAGGTATGGAAGTTTGATATGTGTTTTGAATGTGATAGAATATATCGAGTACCTGAGTTTATCGTAAACTAGAGGATTTCAATTAAGTACGGAACACACTACAAAGAAAGCTGGGCGTTCTATAGTGGAAAAATCCTTAATTTTTTATTAGGAATCTACATTACCACTCTTAAAGTATTATTATATTATATTAAATAGGATGGAATTTATAACTAACGGTAAACTTCTTTTTTTTCAAATTATATTTTTTTATACTTAATAATTCGAGCAATGTCTAAAACATCCACCCGTGTTCGATTTTTTTTATAGGCGTCCCTTTACTTAGGGGATCCAAAATTTTACTTATGTGAATATATGGTAAATGGCAGATAATTGATAGTATGTCATCAAAATTGAATAGAAGTTTGTTATAATAAAGCTACTATTTTTTGACTTTCAAAAAAAACCTACAGTTAAGTATTCAATTAGTAAAATATATTATTTTAACAAGATTAAATAGAAAATATGAAAGATTTGTTATAATTATTACGTAATGAAATTTAGAGCGTTTTAATGTGTTTTTCAAGCATGTGTTAGTTATATTTGGTTAATTTAGCTATTCTTGTGAAAATTATTTCCCTTGAATGAATTTTGGTATTTGGATTTTCAAATGGGAGATAATACGTTGCTTAACTTTACATTCATTTCAAATTCCTGCACCTTAGGTTGACCGCTTACATATAAATACAAATTAAAGTTATTATTTTCTATTATAAAAATTATATAGAGCAGAAGTTCTAAACAAAATAGTTTGGTAGGTTTTTTTTTTGGCATTATCAAGTTGAAAAACAAATACATCAGTAGCCGTTGTAGATTGCAATACTTAATGTTAATAGACATACAGTATTAGTCGTAAATTAAACATCTAATATTGTCTTTTCATATTTTTCACCCTCTCCTAAAGGATTCATATATAACAATTTTAGGCTCGAACCTATAACATTTATAAACTTTTATTTTTCAAAAACAAAAAATTGTTACACAATTACATAAAATAGACATTTTACAACTATAACTAACGACACCCAAGCTTAAACAGGTAAGTTCCGTTTAGGAACTCACCTTGGGAGGACTGCAAAGAGCCCAACACTACAAGAACTTTTATTAGTGTTTTTTTTCCAGACTTTTTTCTCCCGGGAGGGGGGAAGCACTTTAAATTTTCTAAGGAGGGGGGGGGGGGGGCTATGGTGTCATCCATAAATGACGTCACACTCGTAGGGGGGAGGGGGTCCGTAATTTTGTGACGATGTGTGATGAGGGGCGGGGGGGGGGGGTTCAGATGTTGCGACGTCACATTTTTGCATAATAAAAAAGCAATGTTAGAAAACGAATTTTTGACGTTATTTCGCATTTTAGATAACTGTTTTAATAATTTGTAACAGTTTAGACAAGATTTTAGAAAAATATCGATGTTTTTCAAAAAATTTACTGCAATTTTGAGGGGGGTTGTAGGTTGAGGTGTGACGTCATTTTAGGGGGGGTCTGGATTTTTGTGACGACGTGTGACTGAGGGGAGGGGGGAGGTAAAAATCGTCCAAAAAAGCGTGACGTCATTTATGGATGACCCCTAAGTCGTAAAGACTCGTGGAATTTTTGAATAAAATGTGATTACGCCTGCAAACTGGAATTGAAGGAATTGGTACAAAATTTTGAGACTAAGAAGGCAAGTAAAATTAGATTTTGATGTCTACTAAGTCTTATAACGTGCATCACGTGCATGCAACTGATAATAAATTAATGTCACTTTTAATTAATTGTTTTCTTATACATATGTTTTAGTAATTAATGAAATTAATATGTGAGAAAGGGGGGTTTTAATAAGTTTTGCCCAGGGCGCTAAATAACCTGGCGCCGGCACTGGTGGGGAAGTAGACAGTGGTTAAGAACACACACACAAACACACTCACACACAAACACACTCACACACACACTTAATGAACCATGTAAATAATAGCTGTCTTACTATAAGTAACAACTATTGACTAAGACCCGTACATATCACTTTCATTTTCAAAAATTGGAATGTTATACAACGATTGCTAGATTCGTCTCCCTTTAACTCGTCAATATCTGCACTTTAGCATAGACGGGAAGACAACTCGTTCTCTAAAGGTCGTCTTTTTTAAGGTGTCATTGATTAGGTTTCGATTAACAAGGGGAAATGGTGTTTGGGTTAGCGGTGTGTGTGTTAATTAACGTTTAGGGCGGGTTGTTTATGAATCACGTCGTACTCCTAAGGTGGAGGGAGCCCGACTTATGTGACGAGGTGGGGGTGGGGAGGGGGAGGGGGGTGGGGAGTAAAATAAAAAGTGTGACGTAATATTTTTGGAGTAAAAATATTTTTATTGAATTAGTGACGTTATTTTGAGTATTGAGAGACGCCTTAGTAAATTGTCATTTGGGCCAATTAATATTTTAGAAAAAAAAAACACTGATTCAATAAACAAAAAAATTACAACGGGGGGGGGGGGTCATTTTTTGTGAGGATGTATAAAGAGAAAGGGGGGGGGGGGGGGGGTAAATGTGTAAAATTTTAAAATCCTTAGCGTACTTCTTAATGGACGTACCCTTAGGTCGAAATTAAATTTTAACTCAAGGTTCAACTCGTGAGATTTTTTTTTTTTATAAGCAAAGTTCTATTGGTACCCTTAAACGGAAAAGTATCAACCGTTTCTTTATAAAGCTATCTTAGTTAAAGTTCACTTCAATGCCAACACTTACCTTAAAGTTATGACACTATACAATTTTTTTTTGTTTAAACACTCGACACAAAAATATCACATCCAATTCGATGTCCGTATCCAATACTGATAATACTCCTAAAATTTCAGATAATCCTTGTCGTTAGAAAATTCTAAAAACACATTATTTTCAACATTATTTTTAGCTCTCAGAATTAATCTCCGGGAATATTTCACTGACTGGAGTTCGTCATTATTGCACCATAATGCGCCCGGGCTGTTAGGAGGAGAGGGAGGGGAGGGGGAGACAGAACCAAAATGCAGACGACAGCACATTACGCTTGAATGTTGTGTGTGTTTTTTTTCTCTTCGGTCCGTGGGTTTTTTTTTTCTGCGCAGGCGCATCAGACTTGAGTTGAAGTTCAGTTTCAGTCTCGGTCTTGACCGATATGACTTAAGGGGAAGGTTGTTTGGGGGGGGGGGGGAGGGTTGTAAGGGGGGGGGGGGGGCTTGAAACTATTTCTTTTTCTTATTTAAAAAACTTAATGACCAAGAAAAAAATATTATTAAATCCTAATTTATTTTTTAAAGACATTATGTTATTACCTTAATGTAGGGGAGGGGGCGTAAAGTAGGCTACGGTTCTTACCGATTAGCCGTACCCAAATAATTAGATTTAAAGGCCGATAATGATGTTTAAAGCATTTTTTCGGTTTGAATTGAGTTTAGAGCTAGGTTTAGGATTATAAAAAGGGATAGGTGAATTGTTAAGGCTCGATTTATCTCTATTGAGATAACACTGGTTAGGGATAGATATATGTTAACCATTACTTATCGTTATTATGTATCTTCGATAACTCAAATATTTGGGTACGGCTAATCTATGAGTTAAGTTCAGGATTAACAAAAGGTATGGATCTAGAGCTAAGGATAGTTTTATCTCTTGTAAAACAACATGGTTTATGTTAGAACTATGTTGACTGTATAGTTATGGTTACTACTTGACTTAATCCTCTTTACTCTTGGTAGAGCATATGGCTTCAACCCAGTGGCGTAGCGAGGTCGGGTGTCACCCGGTGCGGCACTTAATGGTGTCGCCCCCCAGAGGCGTAGCGACCCTTCCCGGGGACAAATTTTCAAGTTTTCGATTTGCATCCCCCCCCCCCTCAAACTTTCGATTTGCACCCCCCCCCCCCCCCGTCAAACTTTCGATTTGCACCACCCCCCTCAAGTTTTCAATTTGCACCCGCCCCCCTCAAACTTTCGATTTGCACCCCCCTCAAGTTTTTCTCTATATATTTTGCTATTTTTTGCCTTGGTGTCACCCCCCTAAATGGTGCCCCCCCGCCCCCCCCCCCCCTCGCTACGCCCCTGCTTCAACCCTACCCTTCCATTTTTCTTCGGTCCCCGGCTGTTGATTTTGCAGACTTCTAGGACATCCGTGTTGTCTTAAATTACTTCATATTTTCTCGAAACCCACAGATATGTCTACGGCTAATCGACAAACACCACATACATACATTTATTTCATTAATACTTCCGTTACAAAATTTTAATCCACCCACCCCCCCACACACACACACACACACACACATCACACACACACACAACGCAGACGACACGTCTGGCTAAACTCGTTTTGTGAACTTTGAGTCACTTTGTCCTATCTACCATTCATCACACTTGCGTCTGCTACACACTTAATCAACCCCCCCCCCCCCCCCCGCCGCACATTGAGGTGTGTGGTGGGGGTGTGGGGAGGAGGTGAACATAACATTACCGCCGTCTCTTTTAATACTCAATCCGATGTTACGACAAAATATATGTATGTAGGATTATAGGACACCTACACTTATGTATGAGGTGTTAGCGACGTACAGTATACAGTACATTAAAACAACCACAGTGCTAGTCTAGACCCGGCTTGCTGAACGGGCAGGGACCCGAGGCAGAAATACATTCCCCAAACCGGTTTTATTTTAAAGATAGAGCTGTCTTACGTTAGCTAAAAATAAAAAAACCTTTTTAAAATGGTTAAGAAATAAATAATAGTGAATAAGATTTTGAGAAGGGTTTAGGTAGTGTTGTTAAAAATAAAAAAAATATTTATTGTTATTTTTGTCTATTTTTTTTTTTATTTTTTCAAAACTGTACTTCCCCTAGCATGTCACCAAACTAGTTTAACCTAAGATACAACACACTTAAGTTGGCAAAAAAAAACAGTGGCGTAACTAGGGAAGGGCGGGTGGGGGCGCCAAAAGGGGCAGGGGCGCTTTTTCGCAGACAGGAATAACTATATATGGAAATGAGAGGCAGGGGGCGCAAAATTGATGGTCCGCCCGGGCGCCGGAATAGATTGCTACGCCTCTGCCAAAAAAAGGGTGGTTTAAAAAAATGTAATGAGCTTGAAATGAGAAAAAAGAGACAGGACAGCGCGGTGTTAGGTTGGTGTTTGAAAAGAGAGGGTCGAGGGGCGTCGATGCCAGTATGTTTATATACTTCTCCTTTAAAAAAAAAAAAAAACTCTACTTCCCCTAGCATGTTTGGTTTTGGAGAATCTTCCACAAATAACATAATACAATTGTAATGGATTAAAACCCTACATCCCTAATTGCTTAACACCTTCACAAAAAGTCAGACCCCTACCTTCCTACCCCCCTTACCCCCTCCCTCCCCCCCCCCACACACACAACATTTTTAACCCTTTTTGAGACGTCATATTTATAAACCTACTAAACTAAAATAAACTATTATTAGACTTTTTGTGTGGCAAGGATAGTGGGGACGGGTGTGTGTGTGTTTGTGTGTGTGTGTGTGTGTTGTGTGTGGGAATAATGATTGATGATCTTGTGGGCGGGATTATAATTGTTGAATACCTATGTACATTATGGATGTGAATGTTTATTGGCGACGCTATTGCCTTTAGGCATATGAAACTATGTATCAGGATTCACGTTACGGAACTTGTATCAAAGTGCTAGTGTGTGGGGGAGAGGCTTCGTTTTTTTGCGTTTTTTTAGCTGACCTTAACACATTTTGAACCTGGAATGTAGGTTAATGAGGTCACGTGAACTGCCCCCAATCACCGTACCAATACAGTTTAAACCACCACAGGGTCTAGACATTTTCAATCTAGCCCGTCTCCCCACCTCCCACCCCCTCCCCTCACTCCAGAATGACTATTTGCAAAAACCAACGTTGGCGACTATACTAGGTTGAGGTTTATTCCAATAGAAAAAAAAAGAGGAGAGAAGAAAAGAAGAAACAACAAAGGGAAGCAAGTCCAGTTATGTTTTGTTAACCCCGATACAGCGGCCAGGGGCGGTAATAATCTCTTCATCTATCGGTAGCCGTCACTTCGTTTTCTCACGCTAGTAAAACAAAAAACTGACCTTTAACCCCTCGATTTGTCTGATTTCTCGGCTAGTCTACTGAATCTTTTTTTTTTTTACTTTTTTTTTTACTCTTAGATTATAGAGAACTAAGCTTGTTATTGTAATAGTGAAACAATTCAAGTCTTTCAAGTGGTGAGTGTAGATCATTATGTCATAAAGTGAACTATAGAAAGGGAGGGGGTGTTTGCTTTACGATACTATAGTTAGAGTAATTTCCCTTGTCATAAATCAACCAAACAAAATAAGTGGTACTATAGTAGGTCACATGACGGCGATATAAATAGTGCTATTTTTAGTAAGGAAAATGTTGGTAGTCGCTAGTTAAGGTTTTTTGTACTATTATTTTTGGGTGCATCCATTCGTTATTTGTTGTCTTTTTTTTAAGTACCTGTGTTGGGGGGGGGGGGGTGTTCATTTGATATATAAAAAGTACATTGGTTATGTATTTTTGTCACTTTGTTTTTGTTTATTTGTTGGTTGTTGGTTTTTTTTTTTTTTTTTTTGGTTTTTTTTTGTTTTTTTTTTCTTCTTTTTGGAGTTGGGGGTTGTATATTTTTCACAATCTTTAGTTTCTTGGTTTGTGTGTGTTTCTTTTGTCCATTTTAATGAGGAACATATCCGTAGCACTAACTGCACCACTGTCAGATCTCAACTCTTCTTCAAAAACTCACACACCTCAACAACATAGATGTAAATAAAACAAAATAAACAAACACAACTGCGATAAACGTTCGGCTGATAGCCCCGAAGGTCTCGAGTTCGGATCTCGGGACAGTAGAACATCCCTGAGTCCACCCAGCAGTGGTGGGTTCCTAACTCACGTTGGGAAAAGTAAAGGCGTCTGAGCATAGTGTTGCCCACGCTATCCCTTGATGTGTCGAGGTCGAGAAACATATGAATAGAGTTTCTTTCAGGCATCTATTTGGAGGAGGGGGGGGGGGGTGGTAGAGCCATAAAAAGGAACTTTATTGTACACCAAGTTCCCCCAAATTATCAATCTCTTACTGGTTTATTAATGTTCTGTCAAACATTAAGCACCACGTAGCACTTTATTTAATTGAATTCCTGCAGTTTACCTACCTCTAGCTGTATACTGAACCCTTATCCTACAGTTTACCTACCTCTAGCTGTATACTGAACCCTTATCCTAGTGTACCTACCCCTGGCTGTATACTGAACCCTTATCCTACAGTTTACCTATCCATGGCTGTATACTGAACCCTTATCCTAGTTTACCTACCTCTAGCTGTATACTGAACCCTTATTCTACAGTTTACCTATCCATGGCTGTATACTGAACCCTTATCCTAGTGTACCTACCCCTGGCTGTATACTGAACCCTTATCCTACAGTTTACCTATCCATGGCTGTATACTGAACCCTTATCCTAGTTTACCTACCTCTAGCTGTATACTGAACCCTTATTCTACAGTTTACCTATCCATGGCTGTATACTGAACCCTTATCCTAGTTTACCTACCTCTAGCTGTATACTGAACCCTTATTCTACAGTTTACCTACCCCTGGCTGTATAGTGAATCCTAGTTTACCTACCTCTGGCTGTATACTGAACCCTTATCCTAGTTTACCTACCCCTGAGTGTAAACTGAACCCTTATCCTAGTTTACCTACCTCTGGATGTATACTGAACCCTTATCCTACAGTTTATCTACCCCTGAGTGTATACTGAACCCTTATCCTAGTTTACCTACCCCTGAGTGTAAACTGAACCTTTATCCTAGTTTACCTACCTCTGGCTGTATACTGAACCCTTATCCTAGTTTACCTACCCCTGAGTGTAAACTGAACCCTTATCCTAGTTTACCTACCTCTGGATGTATACTGAACCCTTATCCTACAGTTTATCTACCCCTGAGTGTATACTGAACCCTTATCCTAGTTTACCTACCCCTGAGTGTAAACTGAACCTTTATCCTAGTTTACCTACCTC